AGTCTGGGCCTCCCTTCTTAAGCTGCTGCCCCCGCGACCCGACCCCGGATAAACGGAGGAAGATGGATGGATGGATGGTCTCTGTGTTCCCCTGTGATGGACTGGTGACCTGTCCAGGGTGTACCCCGCCTCCCGCCTGTAGACAGCTGGAGATAGGCCTCAGGACCCCTTGCGACCCCACTTGGGATTAAGCGTGACAGAAAATGGATGGATGGAAAGGCCTACTTTCCATCACCCTAATCCTTAACTCCCTCCACAGATTCTCTATTAAATTCAAGTTGAGCCTCTGGCTGGGCCATCAATATTTTCTCCCAAGAAGTAACATGTTGGAAACCTGATCTGAATCTACCAGTGAGAATGAAATTTTTTTTGCTCAAATATTTATGTTAGTGTTCATACCCATGTATTATTTTTGACTGCAGTTTTAACTTTTTAGAAGTAGCAAACTCAATTTTGAAAATATTATGTTGTCTGTGTTCAAAATAAAATCTTGTATCAGTACAGTGTAACATTACAGTAAGGCTCTTCTTAACTTGTTTAACAGCGCACACACCTGAGCAGGTGGAGGATGTTAAGTGCAGCTTTCAGCAGGTGCCGCCCCGCGTGAGCCGGCTAGGACGAGATGAAAGTCACCGCCGCACTCCCGACTCCCTGCCTCCCATCACCGCGCGCGAACAAGCAGTCTCCCCTCCTCCCCTCCCCGCTTCCACGCGCTCACCGTGAGCTAGATTTGTAGTGACAGCAGCGGGTGCATTCACTAGTCATTCCCCATAAAAGGTTCCGCCTGATCAAAGCCCCGCTGAGGCAGCGAGGCGGCTCGCTAACGTCGCTGTGTGTCTGCGTGTCTCCGGTGTCTCGCAGGGTTGAGGCGGTTTTTGAAGCTTTATAAACACAAAACCCTTCTCTGTCGATCTCCCTGCTATTTACATTTGAGCTCCGTTTTGCCTTGGCAGTAAAACATTGTTTTTTTTTTATTATTCCCCCTGCCTGTAGCCTGTGTGACAGGCTTAGCTGCATTAATCAGCTCCTCCCGCTTAGACTCAGGGATTTCTTAAACTGGAAGAATTAAATCTTTAAATACTTTTTAAACGGAAACGTCTGACTGAAGTTATGTTAACAAGCCGATAGGTGCGTGTGCCGGGTGGAGGTTCCCCGGTGAGCGCTGAGGGGATGGTGCACACCAAAGCAGGGAAGAGGCAATGTGTTGATATAAATTTACCCATCCGCTGTCAATTAGACAAACCTTTTAGCGTCTGGGAAAGTTGGTCTTTTCCACGGGATGAACACGCAAATATCAGAAAGACGCCAGGTGTAAGCTGAACTTTTAAGTCGTCTGCCAGTCACTCTCACGGCTCTGCACATCCATGTTTCTTTAAAAGCAGCAGAGCATCCCTCTTTACCTCCTCATTAACATCAGGAGACTCCTCAGAAGCTGCAGCATTATTCACAATCAATTAAGCGCACAGGAACCCAAAGCTGTTTACTGCTGACACATCTTGGTGTGAAGTAAAAAAATTAAGTATTCACGTGAATATATATATTTATATCAAAAAAGGGGGAATTTGGAAATGCAAATTTTGAAGCCTGTTTAGACTTTTAACGGGTTTCCTTAAGAGGATCCACACCCCTTCTGCCTAAATTCTGTTTTCATCCTCAACACAAAGCTTTCCATACATTGATTTTTTCCCCACAATAGTTCCTGTTTCTGCTGAATAAAACATAGACCATCAACGTTTGAAGCTGTCCATGCATCAATGCATTCCATCTGTCTTTGAACAACAAAAAAAAGGTGAAAACGGGACTTTATAAAGATATACTCGTTTATAAAAATAAATACTTAAAAAATAAATATAAAAAAAAGTATTTTGCCAGCACACATCTAATTTTAAGAGTGCATTATGCTCAACTTGTTCCTTTAACTTTTTTCTGTTTGTGTAGGTTGCCATGATTTTCTAATGCAATATAGACTCTAGCTTATCTATAATTAAATAATCTATAATTTAGCACAGGCTTTCCTTCAATGAAGCTTCGTTGATCAGTCAGAGAATGAGATTTTACAGCATGCTTTCTTTCTTTTTAAAATAAACTCATCTACTTCCCAATGGCATCAAAAATAAATAGTGAGCAACCCTTAGCAAAAAGTAGTTTATACAAGTATACTAAAAGTGCACTAATTTCATACTTAAAATCAGGCGGTGAGTCAAGTGTACTTGACTATACTATTGTTTACTTTATTGTTTACTAAAGTATACTTTAGTAAACAATAAAGTATACTTAAACTTAAAAATGTCCCAATTTAGTTCGAAATAGTATTACTTTAGTAATACTTCAAGTTCACTAAAAGTACATTGTACGGTATAATTTCTAAACTTATACTTAATTTTTTTTTTTATATCAAACTCACAACCTCAGGATTCAAAGTCCTATGCCCTAATCACTAGGCCGCCACTCCCCAATTAAGTGTTCTTAATAGGATTTACTTCAAGTTTACTACTTTTTGCTAAGGGAAGTCATGCATGCATTCGATATTGACCCCTTTGAATCATCCCATCGATATTTATTTAAATTGATGGAAAGCAGTTATTTTTGCAAACATTTTCTGTAGTAATAAAAGTGGTGGGATTAAATAAGTTTTTATTTCTTTCCTTCTTCCCTTTAACCCTTTAAAGCCCGATCCAAGAATAAAACAAAACAGAAAATTAAGTTTTTTTGGTTTGAAGTTCTTTTTTGGCCTTTTAACAAAATATGTAAAAAGAAAAACAGAAATACATTTTTGATATTAATCATTTATTACTATGCGATAAGTCAAGATTATCTTTTGTGTAGTCTTCTGCCCTCTGTTAACAGGTATATCTGATTGTGTACAATAGGATTTTGAGCAAAGTTTTTACCATTAAATTATGCAAAAGGTGTCAGACGCAAAACATTTCAGAAACCGTATGTATCAAATATGATACATTTGGCATTACAGGGTTAAGCAAGATAACCTTGGGGGGGCTTTGGTGGAGCAGTGGGTAGCAGACACGACCCATGTATGGAGGCCTTCGTCCTCGACGATCCGGGTCAAATCCGGCCTGTGGTCCTTTCCCGCATGTCCCTTCCCCTCTCTCATATCCCCTTTGCTATCAGCCTACTGTTCATAAAAACACGAGCCACTAGTGCTGTAAAAACTCCAAAAAAAAATAAAAAAATGCATTATAACTTTTTACGATAATTTGCATGTACTGCATATTTGTTTATACTCGATATTTTCTGCTTGAAATAAATGATTCAGAGATGCTAACTTTACCTTTCAACCTCAGGATGCCTGTCCACCATCTCGAATGAGCTTTAGAACTACAGGATGAGACAAAATGTTAGAAATATTCACTAACTAGCGTTTGTTTTTGTGGTACAAAACTTCTGATTTGCGATTCTGTCATTTCATCCCATCTAAATGTAACATATTTTAAGTATTTAGACTGAGGAGAGTGTAATTATATTTTTGCTTTGGTAGAATGTCTGAAATAAAGAAACTAGCTCATTCTTTGCAGGTTTGAACTGATAAATGGCTTTCTGCATAAGTTTAGTTAGTTGTTGGATTCAGCAGGTGGAAGGTTAATGTTTTTAACACGTGGGTTTACTACCTGAGGTCGGTGGACCTTTTCTTTTGTCTAATTACCTAAAACATTTTTTTTAACCAAAACATGGGATTTCATTAATCCTTTTGCTTTTGAATCCATTCAACAAATGTTCAGTTTTCAGTGACATATATACTCTACAACAAAATAATTTCCTTTCCTAAAATAAAATAGGTTTACTTTTTTGTCAGCTTTCTTGCATCCAGTTTTGTGTGCAGTCCTGAACAGAACATTTTGTCAGGAAGGAGTTAGCAATACTAGTAATTAGTTATATTTCTCTTTCCTATACAACTTTTTATATTTTGCCAGTTATTTTTGTTTAAGGGGTCAGAATAAATTATTAATGAAGAGACTAAACTGATTTCTTCTTACCTTTATGTCAAAACTGGTTAGAGATTAAAGTTCTAGTATATAAAATAAGATTTTTTTGTTATTTTTGGAAGCAAATTCAACAATGAAAGTCCCAATTAATTTTTTTCTGTGCTGAAAGTCGCCTTATTTGACCTCATGTTTGACCTCTTGTATTTCATTGGTTTTAGTGGCTCCATCCGAATCACTGGAATTAATTTATGACTAAACATTTGCATCTAATTTTCTGTAACACCATTATAGCTTACATTCAATCAGTTTGAGTGAATTAATATTCCTTTTTCATTCTAATATAATTTCCCTCTTCATAGAAGAGAGTAGACACAAGCATATTTTAATAACTCAAATGTAAATATTAATAACATAACTGCCCTGCAATAAATTTTAACCTTTTTAAGTTAAATGTTATTTCACAATTTAAAAACGTAAACAGCGTGATAATTGATTATTTTCAGATTTCCCCTATTTTTCTCCTCATTTCAGTCGTTCTAAAAACAAAACATTACAAACCCAGTAGGTATCATCACACCGTTTAATTCCAACAGTTTGTATGAAAAAAATATTACAGGATCTATAAACATTACGATCACCACGGCTCTTCTGAGCTTAGTTAGACTTTGCTATGTTACATTAGACTCAAGACAAAATGCTAAAAAGTAGTCTGAAAGACAAAACCTTCCTCACAGCATTGTGCCTGAATTGAACAGTCTCCAAGCTAAATTTAATTTACACAAGAGCCCTAAAACACATTTGCATCCAACCCGATCGATCAAGGCAAAATGGTGCATGAACATACACGTGACTGATCATGTATCAGCTGGTATGCTGGCAGCTGACATGATGAAGATTTAGGTTTAATTAAGGGATGTGCATTACTGGGGATAGGCCTCAATCACCATGGCATGACCCTGAAAGATGCAAAAAAACAAAACAAATGGGAAAAAAATTCTTACAATTAAATATATATATTTTTAAACACTTCTTTTAAGGAAAATGAATAGTAAAAATTACCTGTCCTCCTGCAGCACAGGCAGCCACCAGACCATACTGTCCACCCTCCTTCTTCAGCCGATGTGCCACGGTGGTTACCAACCTGCAGCCTGTGGCACCGAATGGATGGCCCAGAGACAGAGAGCCCCCCCACAGGTTGAACTTTTCCATAGGTGGAGTCCCAACCTGCACAAGTAAGTTAGTGCAGAAAAAAATCAATAGTAAATTGCAGAATTATTTAGACCTGGTAAACCTTTTCTCAGCTGCATTTCATTAACCTGACTCCGCCAGATGGATTTGCTCCGCATATCCATCTGGAAAGCTTCTGTTGAA